CAATCGGGCATACACACAACTCAATAAGGCCTTTTACATGTCAATTTTCTATTGTAACTCACTTATTTTGTTATTTATATTATTATAATGTATGTTAGTTGTCTGTACATGTTGTTTGAAATTGAGACAGTTTGATTGGTGTAAACTGCAAGAAATCTTGTTGCAACGAGACATCTTTCATTATAGCGAGAGAGATAATCTAGAATCATACTTTCTGGAGTCCTCTCATTGTAGCGAGAAGTGGATAAGGATGACTCAACAACACTCTCACTATATTTAGAATGACAAACAGCAAGAGAAAAATGTTGTCTGACTTTATCGCTATAACGAGAAAGTTGCGAGTTTAATGAGTATTTAAAGAACTTCTGTCTTAGAAACCCTCATTTAGAACCAAAACACATTTCTCTCTCTATTCTCTCTATTTTTCCTCTCTCCCTTCTAAGAGAAAGTCTCCCTAATCTTGAATCTTCCTCGAATTTGAACTCGAAAGTCTATTCCACTCAAATCTAAGTAAGTTTATTGAGCTTAGCTCTTGAATCTCATTCCTATTTATTTGTTCTCTCTTTTTGTAATAATACTCCACTCTGTGATATTAGGAAGAACTTTAGTCTTTGGATAGTATCTCTGGTCAAAATGTGGAGCTTCTCTCTAAGAGCTCACAAAGAACTTAGTTTCAGAGACTTATTCCAGGTAAAGGGAGTTAGTTTTAGAGACTTATTATAGGTAAGGGGAGTTATTCCCATACTCTAGATTTTATCTATATATGTATATTGATCATGAAAGAACCATATTAACTTATTCTAAATAGCAAATTTATAGAGTTTTCTTGAAATTATATGTTGAAAATGATTTTTTGATGTAAAAAAGGGTTTTGATTTGTTTAAAATTACTTAAGACAAAGTTTATTGTAAAAGTCACGAGCAAGAATGAGTTTAAAAGTTTTATAGACAAGTTACTCATTACACACACACACATATATACAAATATATATATATATATATATATATATATATATATATATATATTGGAAGTCATTATCTTTTTTGAATAATATATGTGTTGAATGATGAAAAAGTTGAAAATGCTAAACTTTATGATAGAAGACTTTACTAAGACTGAGAGAGTGTATTCTCCAGCAAATACCTTATGAATTGCGAGATTGGTCTAAGTCCGAAAGTGTCTGACCTTCGGTGCATAGTATTGGACTTGTGATGTGCTCCCTGATTATATGCTTGACTAAGAAGTTTGATTATTAGGTGAGATTGATATAAATGATTTGATTGTCTTTGAATGATAAAAGATATTGTATTACATATGTATGAATTAGGTTAAGTTTGAATGTGTGTACTTTTAAGACATGTTTTGTTTAATTGTATGATGATGCATGATTTATTGATTTGACATAATTGAAATGAATGAGGAAAAAGAGATAAATGAAATTGATATGGATATCTATGAATTGTTGAGAAAATGTAAGTAAAAGGAAAAAAGAGAAACTAATACGCGTGTCATAAAAACACTGATTGGTGCGATTATAATATGTGTTGTAATACATTGACAGATGATATTATAACACATATGTTGTAATACATTGATTAATATGATTGTAACACCTGTATTAGGGAAATATTGATTGATGTGAGCAATATGAATTTTTTGGTGTGTCATTGTTGAGTTATCGTATAGATAATTTAAAGATATATTGAGGGTATAGAGTCCAGAGGCGATTTAGAAAATCTGGAAAAATGAGTGATAAATGCTAATAGCTTATGTGTACAGAATCGGTAGTGAAAGCATTCAAAGGCCTCACACATTTTCTGACTAGACTCCTGACTATATATTTGCTATAAATGTCTAATAAAGCACACATTGTATCTGTGTGTGGTGGTTGACAATGACTATCCATGCTAGCTAGCGTAAGTCTATCATAACTAGAAAAAGTATGTTGACAGTTATTTAGCGCCCGTGAGTATCTAGAGTACTCTTATTTGGAGAATAATTCAGAATGAAAATGAAAAAAGTGGCATGAGTTTAAAGGATTATATATGATTAATTATGAAATGATGTGTATGAATGATCTTTGTTTGCTTTAAATTGTTTTATATTATTTCTAACTTGATGCATGTTATATGAGATAATAATTTTATATTATTTCAACTGTTTTAATTAAACGGAAGCTTAGTGGGATAAAGGATGCTCACCCTTACAAACATTTTCAAGTAATGAAGAGATGAAAAAAGATGGATCTGACTTTGGATAATACTTGCGATGAATTATAAGGAAGAGAACTGCTCTATTAGGATTAGTTTATTTTGAGGAATGTAATGATATTAATTTAGTTCTATTTAAAATTCATATTTCTATTGATAAACTTTATTGTAAATGAGGATTTAAAGTGTATGCGTAATACTTAGTAATTAATTATTTGATATTTTAATTTATATCTAGCTATAGTTAGAAACTTAATTGACTAAAAAATAGTTTGTCCATATTATGAACTTGAAATATATGTGTATGTAATATGAAATTTCAACTTTCATTTTACTTAAATTTAAGTTATGAAATTACATTTTTTATTCCTATTATGAATGAGACTTTTATACAAATGAAGGTTTAAAATTTGCTAACTTTTATCAATTTGAATTCATATACCTGTAAAAATTTTCAAAACTATTCAAATTCCTTATGATTTCAATTAAGTTTAATTCAAAAATTATATATTTACATTAGGAAATTATTTAAATTTTAGAAGGATGTTACAAAATGGTATCAGAGCAGTTTGTCCTAATAAGTCTAGGGTATGAGACTAATTTGCTTGTGTGGTGTGTACTTATATTCTTGCTTTGTAGGAATATAAGTTAATTGTTTATTAGTATAATCCATTTGATAGTCCTAAATAGAGATTTGTGTGAATTGTTTGAATTGAAAGTGTATGTGTATACATATGCGAACAATGGATTTGCTAACATACATATGATGTTGTTTATTTGAATTAGAATATGGCAAGTAGAGGTAGACCAGTGGGAGCAACCAATTAGATTTTAGCCTGTATTAAGCAAGTAAATCAGCAAAGTACCAAGGACTGTCTACATTCACTAAGCATAATCCTTCAAAGTTTGAAGGTGGATTTGATCCTTAAGAGCACAAAGATGAATCGCTGCTGTGGAGAAAATCTTTAATGTGATGGGTTGTCATGAAGAGCATAGGGTAGTGTATGCTACATATATGCTTGTAGGGGAAGCTGAGATTGGTGAAGATTTGCGAGTCAGAATATACTGCAGGAGAATGAATATACTGCTTAAGATTAACTAAATTCACTTGGATTGACTTAAACAAATCCCATTTTGCTTAAGCAAATATGAGTTCACTAAAACAAATTACGGGATTCAAATCAAAGGCTCTTATCCCAAATTCGCTTAAGATTAATTATTTTCGCTTGGACAAGCTTAAGCAAATACAATTTTGCTTAAGTGAGAAAATACTCTTTTAAGTGAGATAATCTTAAGTCATCTTCTATCTCGCTTAGACGGGTTTCACACATTGTCAAGTGAATTCTTTCTCACTTAAGCGAATTTTTCTTCGTCTAAGCGAATATTATGCATTTTCACTTAGATGAAAACAAACTATAAGGTCATGTTCGTGCAAAACTACAGAGGATGTGTATACATAGCCGGGTGTTTAGCAATAGGATACCCTTACTTAAGCAGCTATGCACTTGGGCATTATATGGGTTTGCCACTTAATTCACTATTAATATATCAATGTTGGTGGTCCTTCTATGTTAAGGTAGCTAGTATGGATTAGCATAAAGGAAAAAAAGAAAGACAGAGACAAAAATAAAATAAAAATTTAGATACTTTTATATAAATATTAATTTTTTACATAATAAAATATAAAAAATAATGATGACAAGACAATAAAGTATTAAATTTCTGTTATCCAATTCATCATTTAATAGAGTACAATTAATGACAGAAACTAATATGTCATATTAAGTGACATGTGTTAGTTTATTTTAGACATAAAATGACGTATTTTATAATTTTTCAAAAATAATTTATTTTTGTCTTTGACTTTTAACATTTTTAGTCAATAAGGTCTCTTCCTTAACTTCTCTTTGTCCTTCTTCTATGACATCTTTTTTTTTTTCCTTCTCACAATCCCTACAATGACATTCATGCTACAAAGTTCTTTTGTCTTAAGTTTTATTATCTGAATCACCATATCTAAGCCTTGCTTAAAGATTTTTGTAAAGATTTGAAATGAATTGAATGACAAAGGAGACATAATAGAAACTAATTTTGTTAAAATTAGATGATTTTTCATAATTGGAAGAGACAACGCTAAAGGGTCGAGAGGGCGATGAGATCTAGAGAGTATGACCATGTTGTATGAAAATGTTAGATTTGAAAGTGATTTTAATGGGTATGATAATGGAGAGAAAATGAAAGAGAAATTTTTGAAAGATGATGTTTGAGTTGATAAAAACTTGAGTTTGTTGAATTGTGTTTGAAAAAAAAAATTTAAATTAAAGAAAATAGATAAATATAAAAAGAAAAAATAAGACTATTATGGATTTGAATCCTCTCATGTTTGATTTCAAACATGACGGTCATGTTCGAAATCGAACATGAGAGGATCCTGGTCAGACTATTACAATTGAAATGAAGTAAGACAGATAAATAAAAATGAACTATTATTAAAATATTATAAAAAATTATTATTATTTATTTAAAATAAATTGTCACATATCATAAATTATTAATTAATTATTCAATTTTATTATTTTTTAATAACAAAAATTAATGTAATTAATAATAATTAATTTTAATGACTAAAATATTAAAATTTAAAAACTAATTTTAATCGGATTACATATTCAAAAAACTAAAGTAAAAATTTATCCATTTTAAAAATATCAACAACTAAATCCTAACCATTATTTTAAAACGTATCATTTCTTATTTTTATAAAAAGAATTGGATCTTTAATACGTTTATATATTTTAGTGGCCTGGTAATAGGAAAGGAAAATCCCCTTACACCCTCTCGAAACCATCGGGTTGAGGTTGGAGCTTGGAACTGTGAATTCGATGACACAGATTCCGAAGCATACATTGGAATTCGAAGAATGCAGTGATAATAGGCCCTCAAAGATATCAAAAGTGGAGTATCCTAGTGACGGTGACCACGAAGAGCAAGGGATGAGCCAAAACCCTAGGATTCAACGCTATTTGGTTGCATTTGAGTATATTGGAACTCGCTTTTCTGGTTCTCAGAAACAGCTAAATTGCCGTACCGTCGTTGGTGTGCTTGAGGTAACAACATCGCCCTTGGACATTCTACATAGACATTTCCAAAACTACAATAAAACGTTTTATGGTGTGGTCTTGTCACGTAGGAAGCTTTTGGTAAATTTGTTGGCCAGCCAGTCTCTGTCTTTTGTTCAAGCCGAACTGTGAGTGTAATTAATCACTATTTTTGTTTTCTTTCGACCCAAAATGAGAAAAGAAATCCACTACATATATATCTTAACTGTGCAAGTGCAGGATGCTGGAGTGCATGCCTTGTCAAATGTTTGTCACGTGGATATTGAACGCATCAGCAAAAGGAGGCCTGGTGAAGTGGTATGTTAATTTAAAGCTCATGTTGCCTTTAAACGTATATGTGCTCATCTTGTATGGATGCTGCACTCCATCCACAATGTTGAGTTTGAACTTGTAAATAAGCTATTCGTGCCTGTCATAGCCATATTCGATTAGTCTTAATGTTTTTACAAACATCTTCAATCTATTAATTAATGTTCTTGGTGTATTTCATATTGTTGCTCAGTAGCTACTCTCTGCATCTTATTTGGCTGTCAGCTTTGCATTTTCCTCAGATGTGTGGGAGTTGGGTGTGTCTCCCCATCATTGTTATAATTGCTGATTGACTTAACCATTTTTATTTTTTATTTTTTGCTTTATTAATTTAGTGTATTGATTAAATTGACTGAAGGGAATGACTAAAGCAATTAGTATTATTTCTTAATAACTTCATTTTTCTTTTTCTTTTTTTTGTAAAAGCTCAGCTACCACCTCATGAACCTGCTGTGGTTAGAAGGGCTGTGAACCATTTCTTACAGGTACGTTCTTCTGAGACCTAGTAAGTTGTAGATTATTTAAATAAATATGGTGCTTCTTCTCTTTTTCACAAAATGAATCTTTATGTAATGTGGAAGAAGAAAATGTAAAGAGAGCTGGGTTCTGTATCTCCCTTTCTCTTTCTAGTCTCTAGTATTGAAAGTTGTTCTCTAATTATTTTGTTGTGATTTTTCATTGTCAAGATCACATTTATCCATGCCAAATAATTACTGAATATGTAATCAAACATGCTTTTGAACCCCAGCTAGCCACACAGCACATTCTTGCGATTTGTTTGTAATTGGCTTGAATAAAAAGATATAAATTGCAATTTAATTTCCATCATTTTATGCTTCAAAGTATCTCAATCATATTGACCTGTTTGCTAGAGGCATTTTGTTGAGACCAAAACTTGCATGACAGCTAATGCCTGAGTTATTGGTTTTTGTGTAATACTTTTGCATACATGGTAGATGTGTTGTTTGTGACAGTTTTCCATCTGTGTGGATTCTTTATGTTTATAATTAGAATGAATGTCAACCTGGTAATGTAAAATCCAAATTTTTATCTCAAAATAATTCTTTGATTTGTATTTCTCAATTCTTTGATACAAATTCTAAATTAGGAAATAAACTAGAAAACTTAAAATAGTTACGTAGGCAATTACAGAAAGGACCAAAGTTCATGGTCAGATGTTTAGTAAGCCAAATAAATAATTGCAGGGAATAATTTGGGACTAAACTAAGGTAGAGTTTAGACAAATTATAAATACATAAGATTTCATAAACACTTGACAAAATAGGAATTAAATTAAATTACTAAAACATCTGAAACCTTAAGGAAAATTTTTGAGCCTTGAAACCATGACCCATGTGACTAAATAAGGACACCTTTAGGCATAAGAAACCATTAGATTATAAATCTAAATATCACTAATAAACCACAACCAAAATTCATCATAAGAAAATTAGATTAAGCCTATACATGTTCAATTTGCAAGAATAGGCTACTTGCAATAGGATAACCCAATTAGGACTTAAAAAATTTTTTTTACATAAAATCACATATAAAACCCAAGAAATAGGTCATAATGAAACCCTAATTAAATTTAACAAAACTTCAAGAAAGAGGACCAATTTCTTGAGCAATAATTGAGAATTTGTAGTTTATTTCGTATTTTAGAATTTGTATCAATATAATTGAGAAATAAAAAACAGAGAATTATTTTGTGATAAAAATTTGGATGTTAATTGTAATGTTTTGCGGGAAAAGTGAATTAACAAATATCTTTTTATACAAATTTGTTGACCAAAGTTCATTACCAACTTCATGATTTGCTTGTATACAAAGTTGGAGTTGCAGTTCTGAAAACCAAAACTGTTTCTAAAATTCTGTTCATTAACTGATGTCACTTGAGTATATTGTCTGTGATTGAAGGCTCCTGACAGATATTTTTTGGCAATTTGATTTATTTTAGAAGCATGACAGTGACTTAATGGTTATTGATGTTCGATGTGTTCCATCTGATTTTCATGCCAGATATAAAGCACAAGAGCGCACGTGAGTACTCAAGAATCTAGATTTTGTTTTCTATAGACTAAAACCGAGTTATGCATGCTTTGATGATCAATTGTCGTAATATATACGACAGCTCAGGCTTTTGTAAAGTTCTGTTTGATACAAAATTGTCATTCTTAGCTCATTTATTAGACTATTGATGCATGACTTCCTTGACCTGTGAAATTGTACTTCATTATATGTAATAGTGACAGTGTCAATATACAGTGAGGTTTATCTTAGTTTTTCTGACAGTGGCTACTTTTCCATTCATTGCCATAGAATTCTGTTTTGTTTATGATCATTTGTAACAATTCATAATTATGTGGAAACTTCTTTTCAGATACTCCTATCGTTTGCTGTCTGGGCCTGAGCCTTTGTCAACCTTTGAGAAAGATCGAGCATGGCACATACCTGAGGAGCTTAATCTTCCAGCAATGCGAGTTAGTTGATAGCTCCTTATATTTACTAGATTGTTATACTGTCAGAACTTCCATAAAAGAGAGCTAAGTTATTGATGAAATTGATGCAGGAAGCATGCAGAGTTCTTGTTGGACACCATGATTTTAGTTCCTTCAGAGCAGCTGGTTGTCAGGTTGTTTCTTTTCTCCAATAAACAACAATTCATAAAATTCTATGAATAAGTAGTTTTAACTCAATATGTAACCTTGTTTGTAAAGCAAGCCATTTCTAAATTCCTCTCAGGGATGATCTTAGTGCATATAGGTATTTTAGAAGGTTACATTTTAAGGTTATTGATGATTTCCATGCAGGAAGCACAATATGCACTGATTTATATGACAAGCTTCACAATTATCAAATAGCAGTCATTCTTGAGTTTTCTTATCTAAAAGGATTTATTTTAGTTTAATGCTTTGTGTACATTCTTTTTGAAGTGTTTTTAGAATTTTATTTTTTTTCAAAATTATCATTTCTGTTTTGAAGTTCGATAACATATCATGCCTAGTCACTTCAAACTATGCATAATATATGACTTAGAATTGCTCCATTACAGGCAAAATCACCCATTAGAACTTTAGATGAGCTCAGTGTCAGTGAGGTAACTGAAAGTCCATATTTTCCATCTGTTACGGATAGAGAACAACATAATAAAGTCAATGGTGATATTCCTAGCTGCCAAAGCAACTCTGAAACTGACATTCCTCCTAGTTCTAGTCCAAGCATTGATAAAGTAACATCATCTAGTCAAGATGCAGGATTTGGCAAAAGAAGGCGACATCGATGCTTGGTAGTAACAGCACGGGCACGTTCTTTTCTGTACCATCAGGTTGGGTTTCTGCTTTTTAATTGAGGTCTCTAAGTTCTATGTTCTGCGTTGTGATTTAAATGCCGCATGCAGAATCCATTTTGGTCTGAATACAGATGTTAATTCATTTCAGGTTAGACTACTTGTTGGCGTTCTCAAGGCTGTTGGCACTGGAAACTTAACAATTCCAGACGGTAATCATGCTACCCATCTCTATTCACGCGTTTTAAAATATATCCTCGAACGCTTGATTTTGTTGGGCTAAAAGTTATCTCACTTGGTGCACTATTTCAGTTGAAAGAATTTTGAATGCAAAGACTGTTACAGCCGCAAGTCCAATGGCCCCGGCATGTGGTCTCTACCTAGGAGAGGTAAAATATGATCTACCTACTAGTTAGTAGACATTTCAGGGTCTTTCGGAAACACGCAGGGATTCAAGCAAACCTTACGTAGGTTGAGATGGACTGGAATTTGTCATGTTTAAATGTGCCATTTATAAGGATTTTATTTAGGTCCACTAGCAGTGGATTAATGTTGAGCCTTTAGTTTTTGTTTACCGATACTCAGCCTCCCATCATTACTTTTTTCTTTTGTTTTCTTTTACTCAAAAGAGAACGATTAAAGTCTTTCGTAAACTCCATATTTTTTGTTTTGCTCGAATATCTTTGTTCTAAAAAATTCAAATGAAAGGTAAAAAAGATTTCTGTTTAATATTTGCCGGAAGAGCGTCAAGAGTTCAAGCAAATTAGCCATATGGTATTTGCATAGTTAAGCCATTGGCTAGCCTTTCAAAATTAGAAGAGATTACCAGTTATCGGATTTTGGAGAATATTTCTAGATCTAAAGAGATTGTCTGACACGAGATTTTAGAGGAAGCAATGATCAATGTATTTTGTTGGGTCTTGTGGTTAATTAAGTAAATGATGTGACGTAGAATTTCCAAGCTCGTTTTACTGTCTAATATATTCTTTCATTTAAATTAAAAATCTAGCGATCAAGGCCCTGATATCTACAAAAAGAGTACGGGAAAATATGAATCGTAGAAGCTCAACACTACTTGAACTATGACTTCAACTGGCGGTATGTTTTTAATTTTAAATAGTAAAACGGTGTTAAGCACAAATTATTTGGTAATTTGTCCATTCGTAATACAGCAATGAGAAAAGAAAAATAAATAAAAAATAAGCAAAACTAATTCCAACCTAAAATTTATCTTAAAAAAAATTGAAAATTAGAAGGTAGATCATTTTTAACTCAGTTTCTGTCACGGTAGGGTTACAATGGCTGCCTAAATATTAACATAGACTGCTAGGAAGTATAGAGAATCGATCAAAACAAGAAGCTAATCCATGAAAGTCCTAATAGCAGCATGAATTGAACTAGTACGAGCAGAATTTCTTCGCTGTATTAGTGAGTGTGGTCCACTCCAGACAGACTGACTATTTTGGGGGAAGAGAATTCCACATAAGCTCGAGAGCTTGGGGTTTTCACAATATAAGCTCTCTAGGAGCTTAGCTTTCTGAGTTTTATCTTGTGACCCCTACAAAATAGATTGAACTAATAAGTACGCCCAGAAACTGAAAATATGCAAATAATCATTACCAAAACTTAATGCAACCGCATCCCAGGGTTTGATTTCTTGCATGAAGGGTTAAGCAAATACTGTAATTTCCCAGATCAAATAGTGTGTGTAATACCTCATGCTGCTTCTGTTGATGGACTACTGCAGCTTGTCCTTCTTGATTTGTTTTATATTCATCATGAACAGTTGTATCTCCAACATTTGACTTCTCTGCCAAGGTTCCACCATGCTTTAAGGTGTCATCAGTTTCTCTCTTCTGATTGTTTATTTCACTCTCTTCCTCATCTTCCTCTCCATCCTCCTCTTCCTCCTCTCCTTCCTCTAGGCCCTGGTCATCATCGTCACCATCATTATCAACATCAATGCCCTCATGCTTTCTCTCAGAAGGGCTACACTCCTTCTCACTGATCTCCATCTTAACCACCTCTCCTTTGTCTTCATCAACATCTCCATCGGTGTCCACTGATTCATCTATATTTGATGACGAATCCTCACCACCAGGACTCTCTACTAGCATTGATTCCTTTAAAACAAGACAGTACAAAATTATTGAAATGATTCGTCTATTTGGATTTCATGGCCAAAAACTAAAGTAGGATTTCTTTAATATATGCACCATGGCCCTCATTTAATGTCTGGGATCAGATGTTACCAAAGGTAATGGAAATTGAACAGCAGACTATCATCTTCAAGCCACTAGAAAAGCATTGTCTAATGATAATGGCACAATATACAGCACCACGAGAGAGATACAAAACCAGTTCAGTTATATTCTTTCTTTTTTTTTTTTTCATTTTCTAAACGAATCACAGCACAATAACCATGAAGAAAAATATCAAATTAGAAAAGAAGTACCCAAAAGCTATAAAACACAATAAGCAAATCAGTTGCCGTCATGTCATTTCAGACAAGACATTTACCAAAGTGAGACATGAACTATACCCTAAAACTGCCCCCAAAATTTCCAGACAGATATCCCTATCAAAAAGATAAAATCTAGACAATAAACCATTAAAATACCTCTTGCTTAAACTCTCTAGCATGCTTATCACCACCAAAACTGCCTTTAGCAATTCGTGCATTCTCCTCCCGTTCTTTCCTACGTCGCTTTAGAACACAAATAGCACATAAACAATCATGTTTATGGTGTCTTCTGCGAAAAGGATAAAACGTGAGCATGCAAATAATTTTATTGAACCACGTTATCCATTAACAGTTGTCACCATCAATACAATGGAAACTGAAGGGATGAGAAAAAAGAGTTAACAGCATGGCAACCTTTGTCATTAACTCATTATTATTAATAATATGTTTTTGAATCACTTCCATTTACAAATGAACTAGAAGATACATTTTACAGAAATTACCCTAAAGGAAATGCAATTCCCCAAAGTTAGCGAAAGCTTCTCTTTTCCTCTATCTTACTTAAGATTCATAATTCATCTTTAAGAAAAATACACTATCAGACGATATCAATTTTTGGGAAACAAGTATATTAGTCTACAATCTCTATATGTAAACTTGTACTGTTGACTTGATCATAATACACTGAACATTATGGACAGGAGATTTCATTTAGTTTATATGATAGCAACTCATTCCTATTGTAAGAACAAATATCCCATAAGGAATTGTAATATCATATAATAAATAGGGTTAATTTCAGTTTGGGAATGCACACCCATGACGCTTTTTTGTCTTCTGCTTCAATTGACCACCCTTCCCTACTTTTCCATCACCGGAGAGTGCATTGTCTTCTGCAGTAGTCCTCTCCGTACCTGATCCATAAGGAAAACATATGCCCAACTTGCTATCAGAATACCACTGTGCAGTATCTTACATGAAATGAAAATCATCTTTTTTCAGAAGAATATGTATACAAAAGTAATTTTCTTCATTTGTGGGGTAGGGCTATGACCAGTTAAGATAAGAGAATTGGTAGCTTTGGAGGCAGCTCCCAGACTCTCCAATATGTTTGGATATTGAATGGTGCGTAGAACTGAATGACATGGGATAGAATGTAATGGAACAAAATTACCATATAGTTGTTTGGCTATTTTATGATGAAATGGAGTAAGTTTCCACTCTATTGTTTGGGAAGTGACATAATGGTAGGGGATTACTAAACAATAAAAGTATTGTATGGAATAGATTCAGTCAGATTCCATTCCATTTCATCCTATTTTAGACAATACCTGGGTCTAGTTAGAAATTAGACAAACATGACAAGATGAAATAGAACCATCATTCTAAAATTTCATAAATGGCAGTAGTAAGTTTATCATTTATAGCTTCCCTCTCTCCTCCCCACCCTGTCCAGATAAAATAAAATATAGAAGATGGACACAGAAAGATACAGACGAGAGGGAAAAAAAACTGCACAGAAACGAAGCCTATGCAAGCATCTTCTTCGAGCAGATGATTCCTCTTAAAAGCACTGTATAACAAAAATATTAAAAAGGAGGGAATAGATACATATTTCATGCGAAATGGATCCCAATAAAGCACAGCCAAGAGTGACATCAGTAAATGCTTTAATCTATCATCCTCACTAAGGAAAAAGGATGGGGAATATTTTACACACACACAAATACATACATATACATCAATTCTCACCCTTGGTCCCCTTTGGTTGTTCACTGTATAGCCCAGCAGCAGTCCAGTACTTCATAAAGTTCTTCTTTACTCGCCTCATAAGATCCAAAATATAGTCACCCTTATTGTTATACTTGTAACAGTTGTCCCAAATGTATTGAACATCCTTAAATACATCCTCTGAATTCATATACTTGTCATTCTTTTCAAGATTGCTGCATATAGTTCCAAAATCCATTGGTGTGTCTATGATATCAAAATAGTCCTGGTTCGAGACAGCTATCACATTAGACACAAGTCTTCATAATTAAAAAAAAAAATGGTTCCATGTACTACAATAAATCAAGTTAGTCTCCATCAATGAACAAATATCATAGATCCTAGTAGAATATAACCTTTATGCATATCAAGAAAGAGAAAGACAGCTAAGACATGTTAATCAATAACAAGTATTTGCCCAGTGTGTGTAGAAAGCAGTCAGGTAAAATGTAGTACTATAATTGCTTTGCTTTTACTTTTCACTTTTGTTTTTCCTTCATAATGGATGAAGAGAAGTTTAATTAAACAATAATCTCTGAAGTATGCATGATGTACACGATTAAACAAAATGAATTTAGAAAAACAAAATACCGAAAGATAAAGGTGCAAACATTAGGTTTAAGGGCAGAAGTTGAGGAAGACAAATATCTAATGTCTTAAGGGAACCAAACATAAGTGTCATCCGGATGAAAAAAAAGAAAAGAAAAAGAATCTACGAGTAAAAAAATATGTACTTACAGGAATTCCCAGAGCTTCAGGATTAACAGGAACATTGAAGGGCTCAGCTGCATCCATTTTCATTACCTTCCTAATAACCTGTGCAGAAGAAACAAAATGCATTTGTAATTGAGAATTTAATGGTGGGACAAAAGCAAATGAAATCAAGAAGGAAAACCAAAATTAAAGCTCCAACACACCACTAAGGAAGCATCCAATTCTTGCTTATTATATCGAGGATGCTGTTGAGGGGGATTTCTTTCTTTTGGGTGGGTAATCTCACTGGGAGTTGACAACGGTTTGCTTGCCTGGTCAGCATTTGATCCCAAGATCTTTGAGGCCTTAATTTTGATGCTACCAGCTCTCTTTGATGGAGTACCCAGTTTCATATTAGGCAACGAATTTGCACTATCTTCCACTCTCTCGGCATTCACACCTTGTTTCTCAAGCCCATGTTGCTGGCTACTCTTATCAGTATCACTTTGTGTAGGAGCATCAGATGAGGTGGGTTGGGAGTCCAACATTTTAGGTGTCCTGAGCTTCACCTTAACACGCCCAACCGACTTCCCCACGGCCTTATCAATGGATCCATCAGGATTTATGTTAGCAAGATTGTAATGCTGATCTGTCCCAGTGGAAGAAGGTGTGTCAACTTCCATTCCTGAGTTATCTTTATCATTATCAAACTCATCCAAACCAGAGGTTTCTTCGTTGTTTTGACCCCCTTCATTTCTGAGTGTCTCATTAACACTAATTACATGATTGGCGGTGCCTTTCGCCTTCCCTTTCTTATGCCCGCGCTTGCGCTTCATGTTCTATGCTCTAACCAAATTCCAATGTGACTGTGACAAATTCCAAGTTACATCACCATACTACAAAGTTCTGTAATTTATGCATTTCAAAGTCATTAAAAACTTAGAAAACAATGTACTAAGCACAGAAAAGAGAGGTTTTTCATGGTAGCATATGTTTCCCAAGGACAAGGAGCGTGATTTGAATGGACTAAAACGAGTAAAACATCAAACAAAGATTATATATTTGAAGAGAAGGAAGCAAATTACATAGCTGAGCGGAGCAATTACAAGGAACGGAAATTCGGTATTTGTAGGAAAGTGTTGATATCTTTCGATTGCACAATTGACCGAAACGCAGCTACGGAGGAATTCGTTGTGTGGGAAAAGGGGGGTGTGCACTGTTGACTCTGTCAACCTTTCAGTTCACGGTGTCGAGGAGGAAGAAGACAACCACGCCATGGAACCCCATCTCCTATCTTCTCAGCTTCAAAACGCCTCGTTTCATTTGATCTAGGGTTTTATATATATATATATATATATATACTATGTGCAAATTTTAGTAAATCTCCTAATATTTTCTTATGAATCACATAATATTATTTAGATAACTATATATACTAAAATTTAAGTGATTATAAAAAATTAATTTTAATACATTATTAGTGTAAAAATCTTTAAATGAATAACAAATTAAAAAATTATTTAAATAAAATATTTTATATAGTTATTATAAAAATTAAAAGATTTTAATTACATAAAATTTTATGATTCGACGATGATGTATAAATTTATCATGCTAAAAAAATTTTGCATATATTTTAACATAAAATTTTAAATACTTAAATTTTTTAAACATGTCAAGTGTATTTTTAGATTCACTTTATTAATAAATAAAAATTTACCATAAAATTAACTAGTTGAATAAATATAGATCTTTTGGGTGTTAGACGTGTCTCGAACTTGGCACACTAAAATATGGATCTATAAGAAAAAAATACATTAAAGTATATATATATATATATATATATATATATATATTAATATCATATGTTTAAATTTAAATTTAATTGTATTTTTGTCTTACAAATATAATATATTTTGTGATAATTTTTATAAATTTTTTTATTAATATTAAAATTTAGTTTATACAGTAACTCCTTCTTATTAACTATTAAATTTAGTTAATAGAAAGCAAACTAAGAATTTCTTATATGTCACGTAATTTAATTTTATAAGATTTTATTATTTAAATTTTATATTTATAAATAAATTTTTAAATTTTCTTTAAATATCAATTTCTCTCAACTTTTCTTACCTCGCCAGAAAAGTCACCATTGATGCATTTTCCCCTTTCTATCCTTCTTAGACAGCACCACACCTCCTCGTTCCACTCTTTATCGGCCATTTCTTCCGTGACTATACCGTCTCCTCTGATTATCGCACCTTCTTGAAATACCTCTATCGCACTAACCTCTTTGAATGCAAGGGCCACGACAGAACATGTGATGTGTTTTGCTAAGATTAATTTGTTTGCATAATCTTATATGTGTTATATTTTTTAGTATTAATATTAATATTAATATTTATATTAATTTGTGGATTAGCATTATTAAATTATTATAATTATATTGTTATTAATAATGATATAAAATAAATGTGTATAATAATAATAATTATTATTATATAAATTTTGTAATTGAGTTCTTAGTGTGAATAATTCGTAATGAGTTGGATCATTTTATGTGTTCAGTGAGAGATTCTGTTCTTATCTGATTAAGCTTATATAACTGTTGTCCCATTAAACAATTATCAATGTAGAATAATAACAATCAAGTAGTACACGCTCATTTAAAATACGCAAATTCTCATCAGATTGTTTATGATTTAGAGGTTATCATCAAATACGCGTCTAACGCAATTATTTAATTACATATAGTTAGAATTAAATGTTATGATGTGTATTATATATAATTATGGTATCTTTAATTTTATATTCAAAATTTCTATTATTTTTGTCTAAGAAAGATGTGCCTAACAGGATTGTGGAGCTTTTGGGGTTGTTCATTTTTGGATTTGGTACCATTTGTTAGTTTCTTGCTTGCCTAGTTAGGGGGAGAAAGTTTTGTTTGTGGTAGCTAGTTTTTCTGTTGCTGGAATTCAGCATGTCTAGTTGTTTGAACTATTTTAATTCTAATGTGATGTCTAAGTGTTCTACTTAGATGGATTGGTTTCATGGTGGGTTGCAGTACCATATGTTTGCGCAGTTGTCAAGAGAGAGACTAACACATTAGAAAAATTGTGCCTTTGGTTAGGGATATTTGTAAGAAGCACAATCTTCCTTTATAATAGTTATTACATTAGATTGAAGAGTGACAACTAGCAATCGGGGGTGATGTCCAACAAATGAAGGACCCCACACAATATCCTCATTCTTATATAATATGTCATTGATGGCCATGCACAGGGTTTTAAGATCTTGCCCCTGCTCTCTCTCGACATGTGAAACTCCAGTTTGCAAATATTTAAAATTTATTTAAGAAGATTTATTTATAAATATAAATTTTAAATAATAAAATAACAGTGACAGTGACGTGAAAATATTAACTCAATATTTAACTGAAATAAAATTAAGATCTAAATCTTTAACTTTTTAGAAACTAAATCTTAAAAAAAAATTATAGAAATTTATCACAAAATAACTTATATTTATAGAGATTAAAAACATATTTAAACTTTAAATTTATTAAATACTATGGATTATAATGTATAAAACATATATTTTAGTATAAATTGAAGTAAATTCAAATCCACGGTAATTAATTATCTATTTATTTGACAAATTTTTTCTTTAAACTTCGATCATGAGTATATATTAACTAGTTTACGATACGACATTTTTATTTCAGTTCTTTAATTTAAATCTTAAATAATTAAGAAAATATTTATATGATATATAATAATTATAATTTTTTTATATGCATCATGTATTAAAATGACTTTTCAAACTAATAACAAAAATGTGTCGAAACGTAGATTAATTTATAAGAATTGTTCCGTCGAATTCAAATTTTTAGAGAAAGATACATATAATTAAAAAAAAAACAAATCATTCAGGCTTAGTTTATTTGGTCAACTACAAAGTGATTTTCGCACAACATGTTGGTTAGTTTGACATTTTTTTCTTTTGTTATTCAATTAGACGCGTGACACATCTTTATATATGCAACCTTTACTGCTAAAAAGTAAGGTAGATGCTATTTGGAGAAATTATATTATTCCCCTTTAAAAGAGAAACGTTGTAGAAGTTTTCCCTCTAATGACTTGCTATATGAAAATTGTTTCTTTTGCCGAAACTTGAAACTGATGATTGCCCTAATCATCCTCGCAACCCCTCCGTTGAGAATATTTAACATTCCCACACGCCACGCATTTGATTATTTAACTCTCTCTTTTTTTTTCTATCCTTTTATTAAACATATGATATTTTAAATGAAAAAAATGTTTATTTTTATTTTAAACATATATTTACGATTTTTCATCAAATAATTCGATTTTATTTAAGAATTTAATATCATTGTAAAAATTTTATAGTGTGTTTAATTATTGATTGATGTATAACTGGAAAGTGGTCGGAAACTTTTATAACAGTTATTTTAAAAGTTATATTTTCATAAAAATCAAACTCTTTCCAAAAATTGAAAAATTGAAACAAAATCAACAACATGAAATTGGTGTAAAAGTTATTGCCGTGCAAATAACATCAAACATTGGTTTTAAAAAAAATGAAAGCTGCTAATATCTTCCCTCCTAACATGAAGCTGGTAGTTAAAAAGAAAAGTGAGAGGAATGCACGAAGCAAGCAAGACCAAACAACATGCAATGCGTAATTAGGTTAACAATATGCATTTTTATAATACATTTACACGCGTGTCTGCCTTGAGTTTACACGATATCATTATATATTGAGTTTCGGCAACACAGAAGGAAAATCCATGGAAACAGCAAAACCCATCAACACAAGCAACCAATCACCTAATAATCCATTCTCATATATATATATACCCACAACCATGAATCTACAAGTATTTCAAATTTAGCTTGCTACCCCCAAGGATACATACACACATTGGACGCGAAGATTGATCAAATTCTTGTGGAACTGAGCTAAATCAAGAACAGATATATAGAATCAATGTCGGTGAGACAACGAGGTACAGAACCCGCACCGAGGAAGCAATCGGACACAGAGGAAAACGCAGAACCTAGGTCCGTAGCCGTAGCAGTAGAAGGTCGAAGTGGACTCTCTCAAACCCTAAGCAGCACAGCGAACTTGGCCAATTTGCTTCCCACGGGGACACTCTTAGCATTCCAGATTCTGACGCCCGTTTTCACGAACAACGGGGTGTGTGACTCCGTTACGCGGCCCCTCTCATTGGGCCTGCTTGTCCTATTGGGCCTGTCATGCTTCGTGGCCTGCATGACGGACACAGTGAAGGCCTCGAATGGAGAGGTGTATCATGGGCTGGCCACTCTGAAAGGCCTGTGGCTATTTGACAGTCCTACGGAGGCGTCAAGTCTACCCGACCTGAGGAAGTACAAGCTGAGGTTCATCGATTGTGTCCACGCGCTCTTGTCCGTGTTGGTGTTCTCTGCAGTGGCTTTGAGGGACAGGAACGTGTTGAGCTGCTTTTACCCAACGCCTCAGCATCAAACTCAGGAGGTTCTTGATATTGTGCCTCTTGGGATTGGTCTCATCTGCAGCTTGCTCTTCCTCGTTTTTCCAAGCACAAGGCACGGGATTGGCTTCCCCGTTACACCTGGCAAATGATCTCTTCTTCTTCTTTTTTCTACATTTCGATTTTAAGGATTTCTTTAAGTTTTTTATTAGTTGACTATGTTGGAATCAGGCAACAACCCCAATTTAAATGTTTGATTCTTTCGATTGTTTGTTCTATTTGCCATTGAACTAGGGAGTTTGTTTGTTTATTAGACTCCTCCAGCTTTCTCTTTCTTGTATATTTTATTCTGTTCTCCTTCTGATGACTTGAAACTTGGAAAGAATCATGTTGTAATGGACAGGGATTCTAGTTTTACACGGAGTTGTTGCTTTTGTTGTTTAATGCGCACTGTGGATCTTCTTCATCATATTAATCAATAATTTGACGCTTCTACCAACATATTCTTTTGGCTTACACGCAAACTGTGATCCTGTCGCTTTCTCTTCCACTTCCAATCTTAAAAGTTAGTTAGCCTTCCAACTTAGCTGTACATTCACAATATTTAGAATTTCAATAGAATAATTTTAAATCTCTTTAATATATTTTTTTATTTATTAAATGAATAAAATATTAAGATATAAATATATTTTTATTAAATATTTAATTTATAAGATTAATAGAAAAAGATATTACAGGAGATAATGTATAGATAGATCTGAATTGTATTTTTATTGAAAACAAAATATTTCCAATTATTTTTTGTCAAGCGCTGAATCAGAAAAGGCAGAAGGCTGAAAGGCCCAAGAGGTACGGCCTTAGCTTCAGGGAGTGTATTTGGGCTTCATCCTTGGGTCATGGTTGTTTAACTTTGAACCGTGAGATTAGCCCCTGCATAGCCATAAATCAACCTGGTGAAATATCCCCATCCCTTTAGGGCTGGGAAATACAGTCCCATTCAAAAGTACCTCATATGTATAAAAAGCTTTTCAAATATTTAATATAATTATATTTACTAAAATTCAAATTTAAGACTTCAATATATATTTAGAGCTCTTTTTTTTTTTTAATTTTGAATTTATCAAAATATAACTTTTTTATAAAAAAATTACATAAATATTTTTTTAAAAACGCCAATCATAATTTTGATTGTCAATTGATTAGTTATAGTTAAAAGACTTTATTGGCTATTTTAAATACATAAAATTAAATTTTTTTACTCCTAAAAGTTGCTATCAATGATTTTAAATGTATAAAATTATTATTTTAAAAAAGTAAAAATCAATCTAAAAAAGCGTCATTGTGACTTTTAAAAATTTTTTTTATGACAATATTTTACCTAATATAAAATCACCATTGGTAAATTTTAATTGTTGAGGTTATAAATATTGCAATCTCATTAATAGTAAATCACAAATGAAAATTTTTGAAGCATTTGTTAGTTCTTTAGTTTCATTCATCTGTGTTTCTTAGAAAAAGATGAGTGTGGCAATTTTAGTATACTTTAATGGTGAGATTGTAATAAATACAAGTGTAAGTATAACATTTACATTATATATTCCATACAATATATCATTTGGAGAATTGAAGTATTATCTTAGTCAATATATTAAAGTTCAGTTTTCAAAAATAGTAAAAAGTATTACGTATCGATATCCAACCTCAATATTTGGTAATTTCATGCAATACAATGATGATGATGATGTTCAACAAATGTTTCTAATACACCAATATTGTCATCATCTAACTTTTCCCATTGAGTTATATGTTGTTTTAAAAAATGATGAGATACAAGAAGCATATGCGAGTTTTAGCAACGAGATAGAATGAAAACAAAACAACACTAAAAGTGATGACAACAACTTTGAAGGAGAATATGGAAGTGACGAAGAAAGTGAATGTGAGGATTTTGATGATGACACTGACGATGAGGAGGCTTATTTGATTAGGCAACATCTACTTAGGGAACCACCCTTTATGCGTGCTTTAGATCTTAATGTTATGCATGCATCTAAGTTGTTAGAATATGCAAACTTAGGTAATAATTAAGTTTATAATTATGTTGAATTTAATTTTAGTTCTGTTCATTAGTTTATGTTTATGTTTGGTAAGTAATTGTGATTTAGAAAGGAAATTGTGTAACACTTTAATTATTTTCAAATAATCATTTTTGTACAATTCATTTTTCACAATTCATAAAGGGATAACAATAATAAAATTTTCAGTCAATTTGATTCAAATGCAATATTCCAATGAGTATTTCAAAATATAAGAGGGTTATAAGTTTGAATCAAATCATTGCTACAAGACTTAATTTATACATTTAAAAAAAAAATAGTTACCTAAGTCATATAGCAATTTCATTCATCCCCTTCATTGAGTCTGATGTTGATCATCTTTGTCACATGAAAAATAAATGCAAGGGTGAGACTCACCTTGCATGTTTCACACATTTACTAACATAATTCAAATCATGCGTCAAACAAACATGAACTAATACTTTTTAACATTCCCCTTCAGTTCACATACAGATGCGCTTACTTCACCATCAAATAATTCATATACACACTCACGTGCGCTCACTACATTTGATCATAGTTTTTTGATGCCATCAACCTCAAGAACTTACTTAGTTTCATACCATGGATGGTCGCCGGTTAACCCCCACCTTACGGATACAACGTATGCGGTCACAGGCCCCTTAACAAAGGTATTAGTTAGAGGCCAAGTCAGAAGAAGAATGTATGGCCTATGGTGCACCCACGCTTACTGTTGGTGTCACTATTACCCTCTCTTCCCTAAGGTATTTCTATCACCCCCACTTTCTACACCCTAGTATATCTCTGTAACCATTCATAATTTTCAATGTTTTCAAATACAACCACAATCACACTCAACATGTCATTCACATATTCTCACCCATCTCATATTATTCATTATCAACCAATGGCATGTTAGCACATATAATCAATCACATTATATTCCACACTAAATTTCTATCAAAATCCAATCACAATCAAACCATTCTCATCAAATACACATCATCCTACGTTTTATCCTAATCACATTGCAATACATAACACAATAAACGAATTTTAAGTACAATGAGGTAGGGTAGAGTTTTTCCTTACCTCGAAATGAAGACCCAATATGAAATAATGGTAGAAAACCTTCCCCACACAGTGCTTCATCCTAAACACATGGAAAATCTCCATGAGAATTCGAGAAAACGAAGAAAGAGACAAAAAACTAAAACCTTAGCTTTCAAAATTTACCTCTAAACGTGCCAAACGTGATTCCAACCTTCAAGCGCACAAACGGCTTTGAAGGCTATTTAATTGGTGAAAATGGGTTGAGGTGGAAAGAATCAAAAAAGGAAAAAGAAAGAATGGAAAATAAGTTTCTCGAACCCTAAACCCCTCAAATACCCAAGGAGTTGCGATATTCTCGTTACATCGAGACACTTTCTCGCTATAGTGAAAATATCAAACCAAACTACATTATGGTTTCTGCATAATCTCGCTACAGCGAAACTGCACTCATAAAACACCATCTCTCTGTTGCCCTCTCATTATAGCAAAAACATAATAGAGTCACGCCACTTGCTCAGAATCATCTCGCTCTAGTGAGAATGTCCTGATAGTAAACACTAACCTATGTTTCCAATCAATTCCAGCTCAATCACAAGTCCACATTCACATTTCAACTGTAATATACACATATATACACATCACCACATAAGTCAAACGCACATTCAAGTACCAATCCATATATTTATATTAATAATCAAAATATCATTATAAAATTCGGGGTGTTACAACTCTCCTTCCCTTTAGGGAATTTCGTTCCTGAAATTCAAGAAATCATATAAACAATTCCGGATATAACTCTCTCATTCTACTCTCCATCTCCTATGTGGCGTCTCTCTCATCACTTGCACTCCATATTACTTTCACCAACGAGATCCTTTTGCCCCTCAGCTGCTTGATACAGTGATCCACAATCCTTACCAGGTACACCTCGTAGGATAAGTCTTCTCTCACTTGAACCGGGTCAAGGTTGATCACGTGAGAAGAATTGAGAAGTAATAAAGGGTTCTTAAATTAAGTTCTCGAAATATTGTCCCACAAGGATTGTTTTTCAATTACTAAGAATTTGTTAATTCAATTGTTTAAGCTTCAAATATACGAGATTAATTAAAAACAAAAATTTATAAAATTAATTATAAAACTAAGAGTAAGGAATACAATGCACGTCTTGGTTAAACTTATCAGAGAGGAACCTAGGGCATATGGGTTTTCTCATTCAATCATTTATGTTATTTTTTTATTTAACTCTAAATTTGATTTCTTTGTGATTACCAATCATTCCTACGAATACTATTAATACCTAATGATCATGCAATATTAATATTCTTTTCTCTAAATTAACATCCCCAATGGTCATGCAAGACATTAATTTAAGAAAGCTTTAGGAGCCTACGAACTTGTTAATTTAATAACGATTAGAAGAGAAAGATTAGTTTGGTCCATCTAATCCTTTGTCTCGTTTTACCCTATAGATCTATTAATTAACTGAGGTACGGTCACCTAATGATACAATTAATTAGGATTAAGAAAGAAGCGCAATAGGATAAAATCTAACCATAAAATGGAAATCAAATTTAGATTCAAACATCAAAATTTCATAAATTCATAAACAATAGTTCTCATAGCCCTAGTTATGGACTTAGTTACTCATGCTAAAGAAAAGAACTAAAACAATCATAAACAAATCTATAATAAAAAGAAATAGCAAATTAGAGTGTAACATGTGTTTCCGGTCTTTAAGTACGATCATTCGAAACTCCAAGTCCCGCTAAGCATGTGCCAAAGATCCCGTGCAAGAGAGACGAGATCAGATGTATTCTAGAGCCAAAGCCAAGATGTAAAAACAGTTCCCCAATGGTGCCTCAGATCTTCCATTTTATAGGATTTGAAAACTCTAAAAACTCTTCATAAATAAGCTTCTCACAGATGAGCACGGCCATGCAAGGCCTTAAGTACGACCGTGTATGGACTCGAAGCACCCTCGTGCTTATTGAATGGGTCTAGGCGTGATGACTGCTGTGAAG